GAGAGCACAGGGGTTGGGAGACAATTGGCTTTGGGTTCAAATCTTCACCCCGTTCCTTTGCTGGCTCTGTGACATTAGGCGAGGCTCACACCCTCTCTGAGCAGTGACACTATCTGTAAATTGGGCATACCAGTTGCCACCTCCAGAGCTGTTGTAAGGATTAAGCTAGAAGATGTATGGGCAGAACTCAGCATGGTGTCTGGCACTCACGATATCTATTTTTTTCCTGCAGAAATATGCGTTTGCTCATCTTCGCTGTACTGCTGACCTTACTAAGAAACCAAGGCCCAGCGGCATTTGGTGGGAAGAGAATTCAGACCATGTTTTCATGTTTCAGCTGCCACGCCAGGCTGGCTTCAGAAGGAAGATGCAATAACTTAAAGGAAAAGTCCCAGTGTCTGCTCCAGCCCCCTCAGGCGGCTCTCAGAGCTCGTGCCAAGAGATGGCTTGGCGCCGTGTTCTTTCCTTCGTGCACATTAGCGTATTTCCAGATGTTTCAGGCAGCAGCTCACGGAGTCCTTTCAGGTTCTGTTTCGTTGGATCTCCTTTCCTATAGCTTCTCTTTCCTTTGCTTTTCTCCAACTGGGCATCGTAGCTTTACAGACAAAAAAGAAAACAAAAAAAAACAAAAAAAAACTACGTCTTTCTCATCACCTTCAAAATCCCCCGACCAGTCTCTTTCTCAGAAGATCGCTGGAAATGTTTTGGCCAGTCAATCACGAAGGGAGGGAGGGTCAGGACAGCTGAACACCTTATAAAATGCTCCTTTTACCAGTAAAGACATGAGCTGCCTTTAATATTTCACACTCAGATTTCAGTTGTGCCATCCTGCACACGGCTGAGGTCCTGGGAAATAGGGAGTTCTGGTGACCCAGGCCAGCAAAATAGAACAAGCTCTCTCCTGAATACTGTAGGAGCTCTGCATGGCCACTTCACCTGTGTCATCTCGATCTTCCTAACCTCAGGAAGTTGGTGATATTAGCCCCCATTTTTTTTTTGGATGAGAAACTAAGACTCAGAAATGCCAGGTAACTTGTCCAAGGTCACGAAGCTACTGAGAGAATCATTTTGGCTCGACTTGGCCCAACTCCAAAGGCCCAGCTCTTTCCATGACAGATGGATGTCGGGAATATGCCTATGCATGGCCTGGGCTCTGGACTTTTGCTACCAGCCGTCTACCAACCTGGGACCTAAGCCATAAACTTCAAACTGAAACTTGGCCTGGTAAGCAAGTCACTGGCCTAGCCCCATCAAGGAGGAGAGAGTCACACCAACTCCTGGAGAAGTATCAGCAAAGAAGGGATGCGCGTGTGTGAGGAGTGTGCATCCATGTATGAGGGTGTGAGGATGCATGTCTATGTGAGGATGTGTGTGTGTTTGTGTTTGAGGATGTCCATAAGCATGTAAACCTATGTGTGCACATGTGTGATGACATGTTGTGATATGAGAATACATACTCACCTGTGTGTTTGTATGTGAAGGTGCACTTATATGTAAGGACGTGTGTGCTTGTATGTGAGGATTCTGTTTAGAGAGACTCTCTTGGTATTGAGTATCAAGAGCTTCTCAACACTTATAACAGCTATTTTTTTAAAGTGTATTTGTTTTTGCATGTGCACGTACATGTGTGCATACACGCATGAGGACTGAGGGTCTGTGCTTGTTCATGAATGTGTGTGCACAGAGTGTTCATGTGTGGATATTTGTGTGAGGATGCACGTATGAGTGAGAATACGTGTGTGCATGTGTGAGCACATGTGTGCTTTATGTGGGGATGTGTGTGCACACACCTTTGCATATGAGGGTGCGCATGTGTGTCCTTGTGTGAGGGTGGATGTGTGCACGCTCGTGTGTATGTGTGGGCATACCTGTGTGAGGGCGTGTGTGGATATATGTATAAAAGGGTGAAACAGGGTGAATGCAGGTACACTGGTGTGTGCCCATGTGCGCGCACATGAGCATGTGTGTGAGAATGTGCGCTCATGCGCATGCACATGCGCACATGTGAGGACGCGTGCACATGCGTCAGGAAGAAGGGAACAGATGGATGAAAGGGGCGGGAGCACCGTGATCACGACCAGATGGGTTCTTTGTTTAGAGAGACCTCCTCCGTGTTGAGTACCAGGCGTTTCCCAGCACTGAGGGCAGATCTTTTTAAAAAGTATATTTATCTTCTCGCGTGGTCAAAGGGCAGCGTTCAGGCAGAGAGGGGTTTCTTTTCCTGGAGGACTTGACCTGCTCCTCGCTGGGCATCGCGGTTGAAGGTTTACCTTGGCAGTGTGTGGATTCTGCAGACCCAGCTTCCTGGGCCCCACGGTGCCCGGTGCCCGGGGCGTGCTCCCTCTCCACCTCAGGGCGTGGCTACCCCTATCTCAGCGCAGATTAACTTCCCTGGCACGGGCTTTGTTTTGGCTCATTAAGGAGGAGCAGCCACTGAGAGCAGAGGCCTCTCCCTTCCACCCCTGGGCTCCGTTCTGCAGAAAACACAAGATTTAGAGCTGATTCTCACTTTGATATTGCCCTGGCTGGGTGTCCCAGGCAGAAGGGAAGCACTAGGACCCAGGCTGTTTTGTCTGCTGAGATTGGGAGAGGAATCTGGTTTCCCCACTGAGGTGGCTCCAGCCCCAGCAGCCACAGTGGGTCTCGGCTGTTTGTTTGTTGAATGTCTGTTCCTCAGGGTGGGTGGAGTAAGGCTGAGAACTCTGTAATGGGAAGCAAGAGAGTGAAGCCTCAGGCTTGTGCACATAAAAGTTCTCCACGGGTAAGCTATGCACGATAGTGTAAGGGAGCCTGCTTTTCGGCATGTGTCCCTCCAGAGAAAGCCCCTCTGTGTTCATTTAACCCACTTTTATTTTTCCTTAAATTCATTCCACCCCCAAGCTCCCACTTTCCTTTACATTTTACCTCTCAGGGAGCATAAAGTCCATAGTTCTTTAGCTCTAAGGGGCACAGTGGTCCTTAGAGAATCTTCTCCATAATGTCAAGCAACATGCTCACCCCACCCGCCTGGAGCCACTAGACTGTAAGCCTCCTGAGGGCCTGTATCTCTCTGAAGCCTGTCACAGTCCCAGCAGCCGGCCTGGTATTGTATTGCTCCCTGGCACATAATAGGCTTTGGTATGGATTTGTCAGGTGGGGGAAGAATGAGGCAGACGGCCCTGGGTAAACGGTCTAAATCCAAAGATCCCTTGGATCTTTGAGTCAAATTATACTGAGCCAAAGTTTGCTCCCCTCTGAGTGCCACCCTCTGGAGCAACATAGATTAGTTGTACCATGAAAGCCCTGTAACTAAGTGAAAGTAGACATTATACTCCTCTAAATGCCTCCTGGATCCAAGTGGAATGTAGTACCCATAACCACTCCTCATATTACACAGATATGAACAATTTTTTGAATGGACATCTTGAAATATGGTTCATGAACTGAACCCAAAATTTTAGATGTGGTCTGTTCAGTTGTGGTATTTTGTGATGGCAGGCCCAGGACACTAATACACTGGACCACTACTGCCCTTGCCTTGTACATCAATACAAAACATCACTCTTTGTAACCCCATGGTTTCACTCTTAAAAAATTTAAAGGGACCAGCTAAAAACTACCGGAATTGATAATAGAAATATTGAGACCAATGACTGGACATAAGGTAAACACACCAAGGTCGAGGCGTTCCTGTGTGCCAGTAAGCTGAGAACCCTAACTATGACATCTCATTCACAGTAGCACCTGAAGCCATAAACCGCTTCCCTTAAACCTGTGGGATCCTGATAAAGAACACTAGACAATTTTATTGGAAACATTTAAAAGAAATTCAAATAAAATAGGTGTTGCTAAATGGAAAAATTCAATTTAATGCAGGACAGGGCAAATTTCTCCCAAGTGGGCCTGTACAGATAGTGAGAGAGGGAAAGTGGGGTGGGAGAGAGAGAATGAGAGAGAGAGAGAGAGAGAGAGAGAGAGAGAGAGTGTTCTGAGAGAGAGAGAGCGCGCGCGCGAGAGAGCGAGCGCGCGCGAGAGAGCGCGCGCACGCGCGCGAGTTCTCTGCGCGCAATAAAAAATTCAAATGCACACGGGAGTCAAAAGGAAAGTTTATCGGAGAAGGGGTAATGTTCCATAGACAACGGTCTCCTGTGGGAGAGAGAGAATGAGAGAGAGAGAGAGAGAGAGAGAGAGAGAGAGAGTGTTCTCTGAGCTCAAGAAAAAATTCAAATGCACACCGGAGTCAAAAGGAAAGTTTATCGGAGAAGGGGTAATGTTCCATAGACAGCACGGTCTCCTCTCAGAAGCAGAGAGTGCGAGAGCCTAAGAGGGACTCAGAGGGACAGACAGAGAGAGACAGAGACAGTGAGAGGGACAAAGTAAAGACACTCGGAAAGACAGAATAAGGACACTGAGAGACCGAGAAAGACACTGAGAGGGACTCCGAGAGTTTGAGTGTTCGAGGAATTCGGTTTATATATCATTCTTCAGTTTCTGTAAATTACAGTTTAAAGACTTTGTTTATCTATTTTCCTTTGATGGCATGGGCATAAAGAGTAAAAGGATAAGATTAGGCAAGGAGAAAAGGTAAGAGTATGTCTCGTGAGAGGCCTGCTGGCAATTCGCAGCCTTTGACCCCTAGGTTCCCCATGGTTTTAGTCTTAGGAAATGAATGATTTTATTTTGCGTAGGTCAAGATGCTGTTTTCTTGTTTTCCCTTCGCAGTATGAGTAAATGGTTTGTTAGCAGAACTCAGGCCATTGCTCTGTAGGTTTCCTCTTGGCCTGGCCGCAGGGCTGATCAGCATATTGAAGTTGCTGAATGTAGTTTGATTTAACATTTTAGTTCTCTTGCCTCTTCCCTATATTAAATGTATTTCTTTGTTTATTTGTGTGTTTGTTTGTTTGTTTCTTTTACTGGCATGTATTTGATGCTCAATCTATTCCCGAGCCATAAGTTTTTGTTTCTTCAGTTTTTTCTGGGATATCTTTTTCTTCTGTGCAACCTCCTCTTCTGGTTTTAGGAACAATCTGCTCATTTTCAGTGCGGATCATCTCAGTGTGGCAGGGAGAGCTCATGTAGGGGTTAATCCACCCATGAGCTCTGTAAGCTCTGCACCGCATCTTGGAAGCTTTGTTCACCTGGACGTGCTCAATGACCAGAGAGTCTACATCTAAATCCTTAAGTTCAGCATTACTCTCTGCATTTTTAAACATGTGCAGCAAGAATTCAGCACTCTTTTTAGGCTATCGACTCTGTGTCCAGCCCCACTGTTTGACCTGGGTACACCTATCGACTCCACCATTGTAACGACGGAATGGCACACGTTGCTTCTGTAAAGTGACATCCTTCAGATACTTGGTAGCTTTTAGGATATGCATACCCTTGATGGCCTGGGTAGTTTCACGAGTGTTCTTAAAGTGAACATGAAGATTTGAACCTCCTGATTTGCATGATTTTGTGGGGTTTTCTGGGTCAAGTGAATAGTGAACCATTTTCAGAGGTCACCTCAGGCCACTTATGGGAAGAGCTTCCCTATATTCAATTTAGAAAATTTCTTTAGTCCCAGAGTAATCTGTTGAGTCATTATGATTCTAATCAAAACCCCAGAGATTCACTGATTTTTTTTTTAAATCCAAATTTAATGAATGAGAGAAAAT